TCTGCTATCGTCTAAGCGAAAATCTGTTCCTGTGAGACACAAGGCCGGGTCGCGCGAGAGACTATGCAAGAGTGATCCTTGGAGACTCTACGTCGTGTATTTCAAGTTCTGGAGTTTAATCAGCTCCCTCGGCCGGCTGTGAGCGATAGACTATTTCTGGGGGTTTTCAAGATTGAAGGAGGAGTGCGACCGTTTATCCAATGACATTTAAACAGCCGGCAAATAACTGACAGTTTCATCGCAGTTGTATAATCTTGTCTGATTGAATAATGCTGTTACCGGTGTGCCGTGTTTCCTATTTTTCTCTTCATCCCATCCCACCCGTTTTACACTAGCGGTGGAACCACGATCCGAGTGGAGGGCGATTTTCTGTTCGTGGTTGAGAGGCCCCGCCTGCTGATCTACCACAACGGATCGGAGTATATTTCGGTATGAGTACCTGTGAGCTATGATAATTATCCTAATGAATCACGATCACTCCTTTTCGGGTTCTTGTATTGTATTCAATGAACACAACTGTTTACAAGCTTCTAGTCTTTCATTTCAGTCAAATAATAAATAACCTGCCGGTCCCTACCAACTTTCTTGCCTGTAAGTATGCTAACGATGAGATGATTGGGTGCCCCCGATACTGATGCATCTTTCCACCAACTTCAAGACAGTCTGAACGACGTTTTTACTTGGTCCCTGCCCCGATCGCTTATGCTTAGTGTTTCCAAATGTGTTGACGTTCCCTTCAGCCTTAGATCTGGCTTTCGTTATCAGACTACCTTTAATAATTTACCGGACGGCATTCGAGCAGGTGAGGGAACAGTGAAATTCAGCACAATCGAATCACTCCCATAGGTGTGTCAGAGAGTGACTGCGTTCGGAACATTTAGAGGGATTGAGCAAGAGAACACGGTCTGATGAACAGATGTGATTGCCAGAATGTGGTGCGCGATAGCTTACATTGAGGTGCTATCCTCGGCATGCTTGATCAGTGAGTTTCAAGAGTTTGAAGGAAGATTACTGATTTGAGTTGAAAGAGAATGGATGAAAAACCAGTACCTTGAGAGACTCCTGCTCCTTTGGTCCGGCTATCGCGGGTCGATTACGAACATAACCGAACTTTTCAGGCTTTCAGAGAAGGAATTATCGGGGGATGGAGTCCAATCTGGAAGAATAATCAGCAAACAAACATTCTGCTGTTTTGAATGAATGGTTTACATATTATGGGATATAATGAATTAGATTATAGGTTTGTTTTTAAAGTGGATGCAGCAGAGTTGAAGATCTGTTTATGTTCACGTAATACTCTGTTAACGCTCCATATTTGTTCACTATTATTGAGGTTGTCGGTGTTTCACGAACAGCGCATTCAGCAGTCCGATTTTCGTTTTGATCATTCACTGTACCAGAAATGATGCCCGTGGAGTTTCGGGCTTGTATGCACACGCTTCTCGTATTCTTGGAGATTCCAGTGATGAGAATGTTATTCTATAGCTTCGTGGATGAACACACGTTCAGTTTCACTTGAGTTCGTTCTCATCCGTGATCAGTGGGCTCGGAGATGTCATCTTATTGCCCTGAAAGCGCACAATGGCGCTGAAGCTTAGAATTCACCTGGTTCGACCGGTAACATCCAGACAGTGTTGTTGACAGTCTGAGTTCAGCTGTTTGTATTTTTTCCACACTCTTCCCCGTGAACTCAAAGAACATTCAGTTGTATGATGTTTTACTGACACCTCTTCGGTAAATGTTTATGTATATCATCGGTCTAACTAGCCCTTTCGGTTCTCGCATTTGCATTTCAAGGCGTGCACATACAAATCCCCATTGTTGGAATGTCTGAGTCCGCGATTGATGCGACCGCTCACCACGGAACAGACGACTGAAACCCAACTGACCGAGACGAACGGGACGCGTTCGGACCCGGAAACTCCAACCCCCTACTACACTACCCTTGGGTATCTGGCATCTGACCACGTGTCCGATCGCAACTATACAAAAGACCAGACAGAAATTCAACCCATGTCTACCGGAGAACTGTTGTCTTCCGTCGCGAGCTCGCTCAAACCGGCTCTGTTGTTGGCTAGGACCACCAGCCAGATAACATCACAATGGCCTATGGAACTTGTCTACGGATTCATCATGGATGATGTGCGTGAGTTACGCGCGCATGGACTTATTCGAGTAAGTATATCCATATCCATATCCGTACGAATTTCGTGTATGTAGCTTGTAAAGCGGTCCATCACGTGTTTTTCTACTTCCGCGCCTATCCCCTGTACATCTCAGGTAGTAGCTTCCATGCGCTGCAGTCGGAGATGAGATTGCTATGGACGGTTTCATAACCAGATCCCGGCTGCGCTTCCAACTTCACCGTATTTGTCCATGTTTCAAGCTGTCCCGCACATAGTCATGAAATAATTATAGGCGTGATACAATTCACCTCCCCCTCCCCCCACTCCTCTCAGGTACCATTTTGTTTTTTCGATTTGAGAATAAACCTCTGTTCCTCAGCAAATCGATTGCAACTTACAAAGTAACGGAGTACTTGCTGGTTGAAAAGCTTTCATACGTCTCAACTACCCTACATGTGGTTTTGCCTTCCCCCCCCCCCCCCCCCCCCCCCCCNCCCGCTACTCAACGAGGGACTTATTTGAGTATGATCACTCTTCTCAGAAGCACCGATGAGAGATCAGAATCAGTTACATATTAAAATCCGGTCGGATGCTCCTACGGACCTCGAAAGTCCTCTAATTCGACCTGCCTAATAACCCCGCCCCCTCCATGCACCTCCATATATTCCATGTGCTAACTGTGTCTAACAGTAGCTAGAGTGATTAATTATGCTCTGATATAGGTGGCAAATTTAATTATAGCTCTGTAATAAAGCGCACATATTTATGTGTAAAACATTTTAATCCTTCAAATACACCCGGAACGTCATCTTCATGTTCACGGTAGGTTCACCCTGATCCGTTTGTCACTCCGTTCCCGGACGGAATTCGTGTGGAAGAACTGGATGACGTTGTTGTCAATGCGGACAATACCAACCTTGTTCGCCACGAGCGTCAAATAACATCCCAGACTCGATCACTGTCGGACACAAAGGAAGGTTCCGACGAGGTGATCCACACGGAAGGTGGCACACCACACTCATCGCCTCCTGCACGAGTGCATCAACTGTTACGTCTGTTCGGTCAATTCCAACCGCTCGTTCAGGCCCCTGAGCTTCAAGCGCCGGATGAGTTGATTGTGCGCATTGGCACTTCACAACGCTGTCTTGTCAGCTCTGTGGTTGAAACCGAAATCCGTTGCGATCTTGATCAAAGCCAGCTGAGCACAACTGAGGACTATCCGGTTGAGGTTCAGGTGAGTTAACCTCACCATAAGTAGCAATTTCGTGTGACGCATATGTGCGTCCAGTTTTACTACGTAAACCATGCTATAGTTAGGTGTTAAGGGATGTTGGAAAGAATTATACCATTGCCAAAAAGTACATTTTCGGTGGTGTTACCGGTTTTGTTGTACGTGGCAGCACATGACCATGTGTACGGCGTAAATCGTAATGCTTCTCTCCCTCATCTTCATTCCACCGTTCTTGGCGTACGCAACTAATCTGCCCATTTACTCCTACCCTCATTCATACCTACAGTTTGGTCGATATCTGATCTATCGTCCAGGTCGTGTACGATTTGTCAGTTTGGGTCAGACCGCGCTACGCAATCAACTGATCATCATTCTCACGGCGGTTGTGGTTTTCCTGATTCTCGTCGCCTTGATCGCGTTTGCAATTTGGCGCCGATTCAATCGACACAAACGTGACTACCAGGCCAGGTTGGGTCAGAAGTACGCGGAACATGAGAATCGTGTGGTACGCGTGTTCCGAGAAGGTATGTCGGTCCGTGGGCTCGTGATTGAGGCCGGATAGTGGACGGGGGAGCTCGTGTATCATCTTTTCCAATATTTTGTGTGGTTTGATGTGTTGGGGTGGGGTGGTTTCGCACTTTTACTGTCCGATTTCAGGTACAGTTGATTCAGCCTATGATGTACCGTTTTGAACAAGACAGTACAATCTGATGTATTAGCTGGTATTGTGGACTATCCTCCCACGTATTTTTTCAGTGATCACATGTGCCCTGTTTGACTGGTTATTTCTACTCCGGATTTGCGACCGTTGCCTCCGGTGAGTAAAAGCCCGATCGCCGTTGCATTGGACGGGAGACGTGAACTTCAGAGTCCTCTGGGGACGGTGTACAGCTAGCCTTATCTTTTGTCCTCCAGATGCGGTTCCCAAAACCAGGTCGTTCGTCTTTTGCACTAATTTTCTCAGTTTAGTCATCTTTCCTTGGTTGGTTTGAAATAAGGGCTTCCTAGCGAAGCTAGCCGACTAATTTATCAACCGGACTATAGCCCCGGTTACTGACTTTCTCACGTTAGTGAAAACACCATCGCTAAATTGCAGTTAGTAGTAGTAGGACTTTCCCAGCAGATGGTTCAGAAAACACAGTCCAAGCGAGGGCTTCTTGGAATTAAAGCCAAACTTCTGGACAATGGTTTGCAGGCAGTTTGGAAATCAGACAGTTGTATGGGAAAAAAATAAGTTCCAAACTGTTTCTATGACAGTATGTGTTCAGCTTAGATGAAGCTAGCCATGTGGATCTGGCTTTTCACAGGCAATCTGTTCCGTTTCCCGTTCCCATTAAAGTCGACCCCCAGGTGCGCCTTAATGACAACGAAATGGTGCACCATGCAAGTCATCGGATGGTTGAGGGGTGAGACAATGTTGTCAAACAGACTCGATCGGTACACCTGATCTTATCTGCGGTTTTATCAGCCACTTTAGCTGCCGCTATCGGGCCTGGGCAGAACGGGACAACGGAACACAAACCAGCCTGACAAATCTACTTACCGATTCTTATCATAACAGAAGAGAAAACATATAATCCTTGGATCACAAAGCCACTTGCTCGTAAGGCCACCCCATTGGCCCATTCCAGGGTTTCATTTTACAACGAAGAGCTGAAATTACATCTCTGTTGACCGTCATCGTCCCAAGGCCGTTCATGGCACATATCAAGCGGACTGGTTTGTCTGTTACGCGGGCTAGTCAACGACGTGCACCTCGCAAGTTCGTATAAGGTTTAACGTTGGCTAGATAATTCATTGCCTGCCTAAGTCACCTGACTTCAACCAGCCAGTAATAGTAGTACGAGTAGTATTACGTGTGCGTTCGCGAACAGTCGGTGATATACCTACATGTTACTGAACTCAATTCTTCGCAATCGTTGAGAGTTGCATCAGGCGGTCGGAGCGAGGCAGGTGTCAGTCAGAGCACTGGATTTACCATGACACAACAGTATCTCTTCGAGCACTGACGAAATTATACAGGTCACTGACCAAGGTTAATCGTAACCAGTTGAGAAAAAATCAAGAAGTGTTTTACGTGGGCCTACATTAGGGGATATTGTTGTTCAAGTTCAAAGTTTATTATGATTATCTGTTTACCGAACCCACTTCAAAAAATAGTGCCTGTATCTTGAACGAGTCAACCGTTTGCCCAGTGTCATGGCCGCTCGAGCATTTTCCATTCCGAATTTCCTACATGGCGCACCGCTCCACAACTGATTACCTTGTGGTGATTCTTTACAAACGCTTAAGCTGCACCGGATTCGGAACCTCCTCCTGTGCCGGCCCGAAAATCATACGACCGATCGGGTTCATTTATCGATTGGTCGAATGGTTCAGCCGCAACAAGGGACCTGATGCTTGCTCAGCTAACCCGAGCGAGAAACCACACCTTGTTTACAACCTTAAGTCTCAGGCAGGCCCAGTGAACTTCGACTGTGCAGCAGGAGTGCCATCCGTACTCGGATGGACGTAACAACCAGAGCATTAAAAAACGTACAAGCCGGTAATTAGACAGTTTCGTGTTGGGGCGAGGGCTTTTGAGCACCGCAGATCGCGGAATATGATCCAATCAGATCGCAGAACGGGTCAGCGGGAATTTACTTGTTTAAGTTCATGGATGAGAGGGACGAGACGATGTAAACGATGGAGGAATCGTACTGCATATACTTGTTAGTCAAAGGATCATAAAAATGATTTGCTCACTTGTATTTTGCAAATCGGGCATTCGGAGTAGGCTGTGAACAATTGAAGTCGTTCAAGAATTGGCCAGAACCAATCGAACTGGTTCACATTCTGAATTGATGGTTGATTGAAATGTGTCTGTGGCGAGTTACCCCCGCTACAATTCATCTGTTTTTCTTCCTTCTCGTCTTTTCTGTGTCATGTCTTGTCATACAGTACACCACCGCATTCTTGGATGACTAACTCAGATATGAGGATGAATTCAATTCACTGGCTTATTCCTTAATAAAATACCATGCCCAATGTTTTCATCGTCACTGGTTTTGTTCCGATGGCGTAGATCTAATCCCCTCCACACACACACACACACACACACACACACACACACACACA